CATGAAATTCAATAACTTTTTTGGAATTAAAGTAGTTAAATCTATAGCCATTCCAAAAGAGTTATACGCCTATGATTAAGGGCAGGACTAGCACATAATGGAGGGATTAGTAGTTTATAGTATTTTCTTTTCTTTTCTTTTTTTTTAAGGAAGAAAAAAGGGAGTGAGTGAGTGGGTAATTAAAGTAAGCAAAACAGCAAGTCATGTGGCGGCTTGTATTTAGTGTACCTTGCAAAGGACGATTATTACTTTCTGTTGCTCCTGGTTTCTGTGTCATTAGTACTTTGTGAAGCAGAGGAGTTCTCTTTATATATATATATATATATATATCATTTTAAAATGGTGATTTAAGGATGTGTTTTTCATGGTTACGGTCATATTTTATTTTGCTGGTGTGAAATAATTGATGAGATTATATATAGCTTTCTTAGGAGGAGAAGTCTATTTTGGATGTATTTATATCTTGCTGCATTGACCCACTTGAGCTATAGCTGAGAGAGAGAGAGAGAGAGGGGAGGGGGAGGCATATATCAAATGATGATCATGGCTAGACGGTCATCACCACTTCTATCTGATCTTCTAATTCAGAGAAGTTATACTTGATCCTTTTCTTCTTCTTTGGATTGCTTTTCATTTCATGGCATACCATGTTGGCTTCTTAAGAGAAGCAGACTAAAAAAAAGGAGGCCTCTTTACCTCTCTCTTGGCTCCCTTCTTCTTCTTTTGCTTCTTCTTCTTCTCCACCAAACCTCTTCTACTATGCAGCAAAAACCCTCTACTCTTTCTTCCTTGAACTAGGTAAAGTCTAACCTTAAATTACCAACAAGAAGTTATTCTTCTTTTTGCTTGTTTTCTTTCTTTCTTTGATTTAGCTGAATATCAAAAGTGGTCATTTCATTGATTTGATTTTTGCTTTATGATATTTGTAACAGAGCTTTAATGATGTGAATTCTGTGAGTTCTTTTATTAGAGTGAATCTTGATCATGAAATTGTTGTTGCAGAGTCAACATCAGCTTAAAGAAAAGGTAGAGGAGCAAGAACAAATAAGGAAGGGATATTTCTTGGTGTTACATGGCTAGAGAACTGTGTGAAGATAAGTCAAGGAGCATGGTATCATCAGGGAGTTTTTGTTATACAGATGTTTCATCTAGTAACCCAACAATCCAGACCCATCTTGTGAATCAGATCCAAGGCTTTGAATCCAATCCAGAGATGTTCAACTTGACTACAGGCATGGAGATGATAGGGTTTTCAAAGAATCTACAACACCAAAAAAATGACAGTAACTCTGCTATGTGGAAAGGATTCTTCAACAAACCACCGAACAGCAACAACCCTGGTGGTCCTTCCTCTTCAAAGACAATCAATGACTCAACAAGTGGTGTTTTTTATCAACATGAGTTCAGTAAACCTGATTTCTCAACTGGGATTTCTGATTCAAGTAATGAGAATCTAATGGTTGGACCTGATCACTCAGCTCCTTGGCAAGAAAACAGGTTGCTTGTTGATGATTCTTCGTTGACATGTGTGTTTCCATGTGAAGGAAATGAGAGGCCAAGTCAAGGTCTTTCACTGTCTCTGTGCTCAAGTAATCCGTCTACTATTGGGTTACAGCCTTTTGAACTAAGGCACACATCTACTCATCAGAATCAAGATAGTCCACAAGAAGAAATGAGGTTCTTCGGGAAATCTCCAGCAAATATTCATCAACAGATGATGCAAGCTGCAAATTTACATCATCAAGGGCAGTTTCAGCTTAGGAACTCAAAGTACATGGGTCCTGCACAGGACCTATTGAATGAGTTCTGTAGTCTTGGGACAAAGCAAGGTGATGCACTCAAGCAAAAGCTCCACAAACCCAAACAGTGGGATGATGATCAGAACGGAAGTTCTTCAAGAAAGCAATCTCTTCAGTCTCTTGAATTCATTGAATTGCAGAAGAGAAAGACAAAACTGCTTTCAATGCTGGAAGAGGTATGTGTGTTTCATGAACTCTCCTTGTTTTAAAGTCCATAAAGGGCCCATCTTTTTCGTTATTCTTTTCAATCACGAACATATTTCTTGGACCTTAATTACTGACAAGAAAGATTGAGACTATTACTCTTGTAGTTGATTTGTTGTGGTTCTAAACTCAGTTCTGGAACTAATTTTTTGCGACTTGGGGGCTCTTCTTTAATTCCCACATCATGACAATTCAAGCCTTTCGTTAACTCTCAGAAACCTCTATTCCTTTATTTATTTATTTATTTATTTTTCGTTTCATGGCATCTTTGTTTTCATCTTGTTACTCTCCTTTTGGATGTGTCAATCTTGCTGTAACTCATGTTTTCAATCGCTAAGAAACTTCAACTCTATTTTCACACCCATCCCTATCATTTTTTCCTCTTTTTTTTCTATTTTTTAGGTGGATAGAAGATACAGGCACTACTGTGACCAAATGAAAGATGTGGTATCATCCTTTGAAGCTGTGGCAGGTACTGGAGCAGCCTCAGTCTATTCAGCTTTAGCATCGAAGGCCATGTCAAGGCACTTCAGATGTTTAAGAGATGGAATTGTGGCCCAACTTCATGCAACAAAGAAAGCTATGGGAGATAAAGATCCCGTTGCACCAGGTACCACAAGAGGTGAAACTCCAAGGCTAAAGATTCTTGATCAAACTTTAAGGCAACAAAGGGCTTTTCAACATATGAGCATGATGGAGAGTCACCCGTGGAGACCTCAAAGAGGCCTACCTGAAAGATCTGTGTCGGTTCTTCGAGCTTGGTTGTTTGAGCATTTTCTCCACCCGTAAATATCTCTCTCAATCTCTCTCTGGGCTTCCACAAGATTTAGTCTTTATAATATAACAACACTACAAAGTATATTTAATGAAAGAATCAAAGTATTCTCCAAACAAAAGCATAAATACAACACATGTTAAGAGCTGTGTTCTAGTCCCAGTAATAGCTTTCATATGTTAAGTCTTAACAAGGGTCTCAATCATTTTGCTTGCAAAAACAAAAGCAATTGCCTTGTTAGTTTCTACCCACTTCCATTAAGATTCTTTGGTTCCTATTTGTCATATTATTTTCAATCATTTAGTTGCCATTCTATGTGCATATTTTTCATTTTTGTGTGGATTAATTTGATTCTATCGCATAGGACCCATATCACTGGCACACGCAAGAGGACTTCGCTAATATATATATATATATATATATATATTTCCAGCCTCACATCAAGCACTAACTCCATGCTTCTCATGGTAAACCCTTTTTCAGGTACCCAAGTGATGTTGATAAACATATCTTAGCCCGCCAAACTGGTCTCTCAAGAAGCCAGGCACGTCTAAATCTCTCCGTAGATTATTTTAATCTTCAATGAATTAATTTATATTATCAATGGGGCATGTCTTCTTAGGATCCACAGTAATAATCGAATGATTACAAAATTTGATTAATTATATATGTGTAGTGTTAATTTATATGATTCCTGCTTGTTTTTACATGTCTTTCAACAGGTATCCAATTGGTTTATCAATGCAAGAGTGAGGCTATGGAAACCTATGGTGGAAGACATGTACTTAGAAGAAACAAAGGAGCAAGACAACAACATGGCCTCCTCAGATGGGATTACTGATCTTGATGAGAATATTAATGGCCGGCCTAATCAAAACCCTTCTTCAACAGATCAAAAACCGACACCGGACCAACTCGTTCGAATTGACTCCGAATGCCTCTCTTCCATTATCTCTAACCCAGATAAAAAAGACACCAACAAAAGCATTAAGACATTTCAGAGCCACCATTTACAGCCCCATCAACAGAACTTTGGAAACTTTGGTGCTATGGAACTGGACTTCTCATCTTACAATCATCATACCGCGGCGGGGGTTTCTTATGCTAATGACAGTGCTAATAGCCAGAACTTCAATGGTGGTGGAGTGTCATTGACATTAGGGTTGCAACAGCATGGGGGGAGTGGAGTGAGCTTAGCATTCTCTCCTGGCTCTCACAGTTCTCTATTTTACCCTAGAGACCATATTGAAGATTGCCAACAAGTTCAGTACTCAATTCTAGATGGTGAAGGACAGAATTTGCCGTATAGGAATCTGATGGGAGCTCAGTTGCTGCATGACCTGGCTGGATAAAATAAAAAAGCTTGATGCACCGGACACTCGGTGGGGGGTGCGGCGCGTATAGCCGGAGTTCTAGCCAAAGGATGGTGATGGTTGATAAGTAGTTTAGGCATAGATAAATACTCCATACATATTTATATACATAAGGCTACACTAGTTTGGTTTAAAATACTATGGATCTATGTCCGTAGCTTAGAATAGTATTGCATCTTTGTTTTATTTTTTTCCATTGGAAATCAAGAACTTGTTTATTTTCTACTTGGGCTAATTTGAAATCGCAAGTGATTGGTGAAAGTTAGTGCCGCTATTTCTTACCTCTTCTGGTTTAGAGTCCCTCTTTCAAAAAAAGAAAAGAAAAGAAATCATCATGTTTTATGGGTTGCAGGTACATGTCCCTCTCCCTCTCGCTCTCTCTCTTCGTGATCGCCGAGGCTGAGTGATTGAATCATGTGTGGCTCTTGTTTAAGTCGGTGGTTTAATCTTTTTTATTTATTTTTTAAAATGGTTCATTATAGCTAGATTTTTTATTTATTTTTTTGGGTTTTCCATGAAGACAAAATTAAGTTGGCAACACAATTTGGTTGGGCCTTGGTTTTGGAGATTAAGACAATTGCTGCAAAAAGTGGTCCCTAATTCATCTTCATGAATAGGATCTTTCATGCCCATACGAATTGCTTGCTTTATGATTTGTCAACTTTGGCATGGTTTATGCTGCTGCTATTGCCGGTGGAAAGGTGCCCTTTTTTTAACCTCCCTTTTCAACATGGTGTGATGGCTTTAAGTTTTTCTAGGATTATATATATATATGCTTCTTCCAGTAGAAGATGCAGCTCTTCCGGATTTTATTTCCCTTCTCGCCCTAAAATTATTCCCAAGATTTAAGATGTGAAAAATGTGTGCCTAACCTAGCTAGCTAGCTGCTCCTCTTGAGGGTGACGTCCCTGAGCGAGGATAATCTTAATTTCACTGAAAATCATCCTTGGAGAATCTCTATCATATATTAGATTTATGGATCATCTCATGAGCGGAATCCATTCATTCAGTATGGGTGAAGATCTCTCAAGAACAAAAAATATTTAAATAAATTAGCTTTGCTCACCATCTCATATTCTCATAGCCTAGTATATCTGAGTTTTCTTTTCGTTTACTTTATCTGCGTTTTTTGGCAACGTTTCTAGAAACTAATGAGAGCATAAAGAGAGGAATTCCCTTCATTCAAGTAAAAACAGAATTTGTTCTAAATAGAGTATCTATATGCTCTTATGCTGATAAGGGAATTTTGTGAATATTTTAAATAAAACTTAAAATTCTTCGTACCAAAAATATTCATTCAATTAATATACTTCCAATTGTGTGTTTTTATAATGGTTTGCTTCTACCTAGGTTACCACGCAATGCCTTTTGTTAGGCCTAGCTAGTTGAGAACTTGTTTGGAGTTGCGGTGCAACTTGTATTTTTATTGAAATTTGATTATTTTTTAAATTAATTGTTTTCAAGTATTTTTAAATTTTTTAATGTGTTAATATTAAAAATAAATTTTTAAACAAAAAATATTTTCAAAAACAATATTTACTACAGGGGAAAGTATGGTTTTACACGTACTATAATTACTCTGATAAATTTTTAAACAAAAAGTATTTTCAAAAACAATATTTACTACACGTTCAAATTCCTTCTAAAAAATTAAAGGGGAAAGTATGGTTTTACACGTACTATATTTTTTTTCACACTATATAAAATGATTTTATTTTAGAATATCTTCTTGAAATAAATACCTTGATAACAAATAATCAACCCAATGCTATGCATGAAAATAATTCTATAAAGTAAATTATTAAAATGAAATTATCTTCGAATAACGTACATCCTTAATTTTATTATAAAAAATAAAATGTCTTTTATTATTTTAATGGAGATAATTTTTTTTATTAGCAACTGATTATAATAATAAATGTGAATTGTTTGGTTTGTTCAATGAAATACATAAAGAATCAATCTTGTAAAATATAAATATACAGATAATTAATTTATTAGATATGATGAATATAATTAATAAAAAAAAATATTGTAGGATATAACATGATGTCTCGAAAAGAATTTACTTATCAGGGATACAGTAATTCAAGTACATGGAGGGGGCCAGAGAAGGCATCCTCTATCTTCACGAATTTGTCCTAATTTCTACACTCATATTCATTGGAGGATACTATTAAAAAAATTATATAAAAAAAAAAAGGCTTAATTGATTTAATACATCTTTAACTTCATATATACAAAAGCAATATTAGGGATAATATCTTACATTCTGTAAAAGGTTAGTCCCATCCCAAAGGAGTGTTTTATTAATTGATTTAATAATATTATGATTTTATCATTTATTATGTCCACATAATATTTCACAATGTCATTCATTTACACTATTATAAATGACCTTTATTTCTTGTAAATATATATATATATATATATGATTGTATTTTCTTCCGATTGCAATAATCATAAGAGTTGAGACCTGAGGATGAGTTTTTGTACGCAGCTCACGCATCCGTCAACTATTTAATTTTTTATGATATGATCTCTTCATCTATTTTTGTTTTCTAGACGAGGGCACCTAAGAATTATTCTTTGGCACATGTAATCACCAACGTACACGTGTCAATGAGATTCATACGAAACAAAGTGTTACTTGATTAGAGAGGCATTAGGATACTCTTGTCATTCGAATAAACTAAAAATTAATAAAAATCCAGGTGAAAGTGTAAGCAAGCATCCATGGCCATTAAACCTCTCTCGGAAAACAGCAACTTCTTACAAGAGCTGAATAGCCCAAGATAGAAGGAAAAGGCAGGTGGCAGAGGTTGACTGACGGCATCCAATAGAAATTCTTTAATTGTTCTTGATTAGTTTTCCTAATACACAATTAGTTTGTCGGCTTTCTAAATAAATTGGCAGCCTCAAATCGATTAATTGTCTAATCATCCTTAATGACTTCCCTGGAGTGGCTCATGACAACACTGCTAGCTTGTTGAAACGTTAAATCGTTTTTTCTTGAATAATCATCTTATAGTTTTATACTAGCTATGTGCCTGCACTATGTTGCCAGCAGGATATATATATATATATATATATATAAACACAAAAACAAATGTGCATATGCAAGCACGGGCCTACCCAAGCATTTGAGCCATAAAAAGCCTTGCCCTGCGAGACAGGCCTTTTTTTCAATATTAGAGGGTGTATGCCTTGTTCGTCCTTTTGTTTCATTATTTGCTAGCCTGGTTTTTCAGTGGTTGTTGGTAGCTTGGAAATCACGTTTTTCGTTTTTTTTTTATTTAAAAAATTATTTTTTAATTTATTTTAAACTCAAAACACCAAAAAAACAACTCGTATATCTTAAAAAACTTATTTATAATCTTAAAAAACCATTCAAAATCTTGAAGTAAAGAATATACTTGATCTAAAATCCATCATCTTAGGCAAGAAAAGAAGAGAAGAACACTAAAGCTAAATTTTCCTCATCAAATGAAAATTATTGATAAAAAAATAATTTTTTTTGATAACTAAAATTAGTGTAAATCAAGATTTTTTTTTCTATTAGCAAAATCTAACTTTTTATCTCTTCTCTCAATTGAAAAATAAAAAGAAATAAACTTTCCAATTAAAATTGAATTTTTAAAATATTGAGAGACCTGAAGTTCATCATTTGAAGGTAGTAGTAGGATGAAAGTGAACTTCTTAACCTAATTTTAAAATTATTATTTATTTTATCTGTATTTTTTATTTTAACTCCTTTTTTTTTTTAATCTTGTCATTCCTCAACAAATTTGAATCAATTAGCTTTCAATTTGACTATTTCAATTTGACTATAAAAACATGAAATCATCACAAAAAAAAAAGTTTAAGGATTAATATAAAAAACACATGATGAAACTACAGCAAACTCGAGCATAACAACAGGAACCGAATACAAGATTAAGATAGTAGATGCGACTTGGAAATAATCCCTCCCCCCACGCTCCCGAGCTCTGGCTTCTTGAATCACTTGAAATTTTACGATTATGATCCCGAATGACATTTATTCATGACTTAGCTATGGCAAGCTATGTTCTTCCTTTCCGAAGGAGAGCATTGCAGATTAGAAAAATTCAACCCCCAAGTTCAGGTTGGGCCTCTCAAAGCCATTACTAGCAATAAAGGGGTCCAGAAGTAGCAGATGCCGTTTCACCCCTGCTTGCAGCTTTGGACCAAACTTCTCTTAGATTTCAATTGGAGCTCTGGCTGAGCCCAAGACAAGTTCGGCTGGATCGTACAATTTCTTGGGCTTTGTTTGTGATCGTTGATAATACCTCAGCATCGCAGCCGACGCACAGCCATCTTGCAAAAATTTAAAACTGCTGTAAAAATACTTCTTCATGCATGATGTTTTATCCCCATAGTAGGTGTTGTGGGAGTGTGTTTGGACGTGAAATGCATAATTACCCCCTTCATAAATGTGATTAGTTTATCTTTACTTTCTTTCCTTTTTTTTCTTTTTTTTTGTGGTGTTAAAAGAAAAATAATTCTTTCAAAAGATCAAGAATTGTGAAAATGCCAATTTAATGGGAGAGAGAAGTAAATATGCTTAAAAGTATAATAATAATAATGGTTATTTTTAAAGTATTTTTTATTTAAAAATATATTTTTATTTTTAAAATTTTATTTTTAATATCAATACATTAAAATAAGTTAAAAACATTAAAATAAAAAAAATTATGAAAAACAGGTTGAGCCGCGGGTATAGACAATTAATGCATGTAGGATCGAAGAGTTTCGTGAATCCACCTTATGGCTGCCGATACCATATATTTAAATTCTCAATTCATGCAATTGCATTTTCATTGATTTCTTTCCTTATATATATATATATATATATATATAAAAGACATGTAATTTAATCACACGTTGATTTTGTGTTTTGAATGTCTTAAAATCTTTCTTTTTTATTTGTAGGATTGTGAGAAGAAGAAATCTTATGAATCCTTTTTGGCTTTTTTTTTAAAGAATGAATGATTTCATTTATCAGAAAACAACTTATTAGCCGGCAAAGGACCTGCTTACAAACAGAAGCTGTGCTGCATAAGAAGAATCCAGATTACAACTGGAAACAACTAAACAGTACAATCCCCCGACAGGTCAGGTTTCAAGACAACTTCCTGCAAAAACCTGGATTTATACATTCGGGTGGCTACCTCATCTTCGTTGAGCCAACGCTTGTATATAATCTAGGACGTTTTCTCTTTCGACGAGTCCATCGCTGTGCTTAAGGACATGAACCCGCTTGTATATAGTCTAGGACGCTTTCTCTTTCGACGAGTCCATCGCTGTGTTTAAGGACATGAACCCAGGCCCCAGTGTCATCAACCTAGGGAGGCCACCAGGTACTGGACGGGTTTTTCTTGCCCTGCTAGCAGGTCCACAAGTGATCATCTAGATTTTTTCTGTCCTGAAATGAAGAGCTATTGTCTAGTTCGATAAAAAGTGGGGGAAAAGAATAGAGGCTAGCCTCGATGAAACCTATTTTACGAGACACAATAATTCAACATCTGAGAAATGAGGTTTTCAAGGGGTTGGCCGTACCGAGGGGGCCGTTCAGGTTAACCCTTATTTTCACTCTTCTATTCAATGTCGCATGAAACTCTGTGGACGGCAAGAAACCCATTATTGAACTTATTTTTTTATATTTTACTCTTTGAATATTAAAAGAAAAAAAAAGTTATAAACAATATTAATGAAAGATAAAATGCTCAAATGATCACTACTAAAAAAATTAATTTTTGTATCAGTTAGTTTATCTTCTCGGAAATATTTCAATAAAAATAATGTTTTCTATAATCATACTTAAAAAAAAAAAAAACAAATCCCACTACTATTCGTTTGATTTTTATTTTTTTAGAGAAATTAGAAGATATTTCTGGCAAATCCCACTATTATTCGTTTGATTTTTATTTTTTAGAGAAATTAGAAGATATTTCTGGCTTTGGAAAAAAATTTATCAATATTTCTATAATATTTTAAATATTGCCACATGAAAAGCAAGTGGAGAATAGATTGTAGAGGTCAAAGACTTTGATTTTTTTTATCACTAGAGATGGTGGAAAATACATTTAAATCCCACTAATGTGTGGCAACGGTAAATGACCGCAAATATACTATGAATTTTCAGTACAGAAGGGGTCAAAGAGCAATCCTTCAACACAAATGGACCGGTACAATAATTGATGACGGTTGTGGGAGAGATGGGTCCCTAATCAAGGAAGCATGGCCCACCGCAGTACCTAGGGAAACGAGAAAAAGAGCTTTTTACTGGAGAAGATGCGGTGTGAAAGGGAGTTGGATTTGGAGGGAGGATTGTCGCTATCATGTCGTGGATTTCAAGGGATGGGATTACCCGCACTTCTTCACATTTTATGTGAATTTTGCACCGACACTTTTGGCTGTCATTTTTTAGTATCAGTAGCGTATAATTTTTATTTTTATTTTTATTTTTATTTTTATTTTCTCTCTCTTTGGATTTTAAACCCCGTTTCAAATTTTTTTATATTTATTTATTATTAAAAAAATTGATCAATTTATAATATTTTGTAATAAAATAAAATTTTAATTTAGTTTCAAAAAAATATTTTTCATTTATTTTGAGTAAAAAAAAATTATAAATTATGAAAAATTCATAAATATTTTATTATTTGTTGATTATATCAAATTTGATTTTTAATTTTTTTATTATTATATTTTTTTAATTTAATTTTTTATATTTAATTTATAAAAAAATTAAAAATAAAAACTGAATTAGAAATATTAACAACGAAAAAGATCAAGCCATCAATTAAAGAAGGCGAGAGAGAAGAAAAAAAGACGTATGAGAAAGAAGTATTGAAGCTTCCAATAATATGGCAAAAGGATATTTTTAGATACTAGAAAACATTGCATGCCATCCAAAGAGAAAAAATGCCTCCCGCAAGCACTAAGGATGTTTTATTTTTTAATATTTTTTTATTAAAAAATCTAATTTTCTCTTAAAACATAATAATTAAAAAAAAATCTTAATGAAAAGATAAATATGCTTGTTGAGGCATTTTTAATTATAAACTATAAACCACAAAGCATTACTTGTATATTTATATATTTTAAGAATATCTTAATTCATATGTGTTTTTTAATTTTTTTTAATTTTATTTTTATTTATTGTTAATTTTTTTATTTAATATCTCTTAAGCTAGAATGTAACATGAACATGTAAATTTCTCATATTTCTTTAAAAACAATTATAAAAAGTTCTTGATTCAGCCTAGGCATTAGGCATCGGTTTTTTACTAGTTTAAGGCGTGGCTTTTGACGACTGTTTACAATCCAACCCATGGGGCATCTAAACTCCCTACAGCTTTAAGAACCCAATCAGCACCCACACCAGCAGCGTTCCTGCCCATATGTTTCGTTAGCGCTCGATGCTGGAGTTAAATTGTAGCAGTAGAAGTGGTCATGTCAAGTTGAAACAGATCCATCTGATGCAACTACAACTAGGGGAGGCACCATATAATATATTGCATGCATATGAAATTGATTGCCAGCATGTGCAGAGAAACAAAAGGTCGTAAAATTCTCTTTCCCCGTGTGTTTATTTATGTCATGCTGTGTCCAGATGAAACAAAATTACAGTAAAAACAAGAAACCATCATAGAATAGATTTGAGAGAAATAAGGGCAGCAAACGTTTGGACAGGCAGTATATTTGGGTCTCAAAACTCCATTATAAGCGAGAAAATATCAACTAATTGAAGAGTACACATCAAGCACATGTATATAATGCGGGCACCACGAAGTTTTATACATCAACATATTTCTTTTCTAATGATTCTTCTGTAAAGTCTACACATGAATACAGTTACACTTGCAAAATTGGTAACATAAGAAATAAATTGAAGAACCAAGAATTTGAAAGGGAAAGAAGAGAAGCAGCTACTATCCTAAATCTCTCCACTTACCCCTATACTTCACTGATCTCACCAACCCTACATACACCCACAGTAACCATGACACTTCCTTTCTTCTTTGAGTTCATTACCCGGCAGCAGTTTCTTCTTGGAGACTGCCAATTACATGCACAAACAAAGCCACAGAACCCCATATTACTCAGTCTGGTTTATAAAGCAGAATTGTCAAGTAACAAGTTTAATGATAGTAGTGACAAACTAAACAACATGAGAACTACTTACTCTATTCCATAGATGAGGATCAGGTTTCTTATGAACCACAATTGTCTCAATCTTGTCAGGATCAGCCATCTTCCACTTGCATGCAGGATGCGGGACATGATGCCTTCCATACTCACTCACTGTTTTATTAAGCGAAGAATCAAATTTGGCCTTCAACAAGTAAAACACAAAGGGCTTCTGACAAGGGTTTCGGCTAACCGGGCGAGTGTTGAATGCATATGCTGTGTAATCTGCTTTCCTGTACCAATTCAAGAATGTTCTTGAAGGCATTTCTATTTCGCGGGGCGAGAAGACTCCTCGGAAAATTTGAACAGCAAAACCCCATGAAACAGAAATGGTCCACCTCTTGGATTTGTCATAGCAAATGGATTGCTGCATTAGCCCTGCAGAGTCGAGCTTCATTGGCACCGTTAGCAACCGTAGGGCTTCGACTCGAGTTGCATTTGGGAAAATGGGTTCAACAACATCAAGATGATGCAATGAGACCAAGGGTGTAACAGGGTGTGACGCAAGGAGTCCAAACAGGTTTCCATACACATCATACTGCCAGGCAACACAAACAGCTAGAATCAGTAACTATCCCCATTACAAATAACATACTTCAAATACTAAAAATTTCATAAGAACGTAAAAAGGAAAATGTAATGCCTAAGTGGGAAAGTCCTCCTCCCTGTCAACAAGCTTTGTCAATAGGAGTTCATTCCCTGGTCACTCCGCAAAACATGATACAAGAACCCTACAAATCAAGCAGCTATTATTGAGCTCCTGATTCAAATAATGAAATTTTTATCTCATTATGGACGGTGCTTTACGTCCAAGCAAGCATTTAAAATCACATAGAGTGCACCCTATACACGCAATTCCCAACACATGTTGTCCCATGATTGGCCCACAAGGAAACTAAAAGCAGTTCAAAAGTGATCCTCTCATGATCTGGCCTATTAACCTTTATAAACTTTACTTAGATTGCAAAACATCTAAGCAAACTTCCTATTTTCATTACAAGAAATGAGTGCCAACGACACCAAAGATGAGTTTCTCTAGGCTCCTCAACAAACATAGCCCACGAACTTACTGTGCCAATAATGTGCTTCCTTTAACAATTAGCGAAAATGTACACCCTATATCATCAAGATAAGCTTCTCCAGGCTCCTCACCAAAGCCTTTTCCATTGCAACAGCAGTGTTTTCTGTCCACTTCCTGGTTAAATGAGTATGACATGCACGTATTCGAAATGCATTGTAATTTGTAAGTAGTGACATTGGCATGATGAGGGACAAAACCAGGTCCAAGTCTAGGTACACCTGGGTCCCATACCGACACCTAACGAACTCATGAATGGACATCACAGCTTACTGAGCTTATGAGGGTTGGAACCTCAAGAGTCTACGGACCAGTGTGGGCATATAGAATAAAGTGGGAGACCCACATCACAAGTCATAATTCAATGCCACTTACCTACCCTGAAAAGTAAATTGCCCGAAACCAAAAATCTTGTGAAAAACTAAAAGGACAGAACCCAGCTCATTAACTAAACAACGATTAACATTAAGTGGCTTTTTTTAGCTCTAAAGCCCCGCAACATCAATCCAACCGATTCGGCCGAAATATCGGCAATAACTCTAAAAACAGAAGAGTCCAGAGTTCTAAAGCGCAAGCATCTATCAGCCACTGAGTTGGTGCAGTAAACTCAACAAACCCAATTTACTCCATCATAGCAGAGAAATCAAAACCCAATAAACAACAAACAACGAGCAAAACGCACAAAAAGACATCACTTATAGCATGTGATAGACAGCAAGAAATTTAATTACCTGGTGAAAGCCAACTTCTTTGGTGAGGGGGACACCGAGTTCAGTCATACAAGCCTGCATTCTATCATCAGATCCATAAAGCCCTGGATATCTCTGTATACATCTATCTTGCATCTTATCAAGAGCTTTTGCTAATGGATAACTAATAGCAAAACCACCACCACCATAAGCCATTCCATAAGAGAAAAAAATGTTTTGCAAATGAGATTCTGATAAGCTCCCAATGTAATAATACTGATTATGATCATATTTCCTCAAGATTCTCACAAGGTTCTCCGCAATAAAAAACGTGTCATCATCTCCCATTACAAACCACCGCACATTTTTTAGCCCGAGACGCAATGTTTCGGACACGATCCGAGAGATCCTGATTGCAGACCTATGACCTTGTTTGTTTGTGTAAGAAAATCTCGATGTGTCACTTGAAATTTTAATTGGTGGCAAGTTGCTGTCTTCTCTTTCTTGATTCTTCACTTTATCATCTAACCAAACAATGCCTCTCATTTCTTGAGGTTTATACCAAATCTTGATGTAATTTTTTCGTTGTTCCCAGAGCTTTGCTGAGGCTGCAATACCAAAAACTATGTGTTGAAACCCAGTTTCTAGACGGGGTTCTTGATTTTCCCTTCTGGGAATGGCTAGAGATGTGTGATTTCGAATCAAATGTAAGGAATTGTTGTTGGAAATTGAAGAAAGATGACGATTTGTAGTGAAAGGTTCATTATTGCAAGCACGAGAAGTTGAAACAAGCTTGAGAGTGTAAACAACATAAGTGACTGAAACAAAGAGGATTAGCCATACCATGAGTTTTGGTAAGGTTCTGGTTTGTGACCCAGAAATTAGGGTGGAAGATGGACTTCTCATTTGATCCCAGATTATTTTATCTGGGTCTTTCTGGGTATTCACTTTCATGTTCCTTGTCTTGTTTTCTTTTCCTTTCTTTGGTCTCTCACTTTGCAAGAACACTTGTAATGTTTTTGGTTTGAGGTTGTGGACTTTTTATAGTAAGCAAGCGAGAGAAAAAATGCGAGTCGGAAAATGTTGAATCTAGGCGGGTTTTTTGGCTAGATGGGGGAGATACAGGTACATAGAAAGAAAAACTGGAGCTTGAATTTAGAGAGATAAGAAATTGAGGGACTTGAATGAATGAGAAAATCAATGTGAAAAACCAGAAAGAGAGAATGAGAGAAGATAGATGATAGAAGGCGAGGGAAAATTTTCGGGAAGTGAGAGATTAGAGGACTGAATTGCAGCAGCAGAGCAGAGAGGCTAAAGATGAGATGAGGCTCGAGAGAACATGCAGAGCTGCCATATGTGCAAACTCTCCTCGGTACGATGCTACCCTGGGAAATATTATACTGTATTGATTTTGTTTTACTTACGTGGTGTGCGGGAGAATGACAGCCACTGTCTTTTTCTGTGATTTTTTTTTAATTCTAATATATTGATGTTAAAAAATTTAAAAAAAAATATTTTAATATATTTTTCATCATAATATATTACAACCTTTGTTTTTAAGTATATTTTTGTTTTTTTAAGTACTTTAAAAGTATGTTTTATTTGAAAATTATTAAAATTTTAGTGTTTTTTTAATGATTTTAATGTAACAATATTAAAATAAAAAATAATATAAAAAATTATTTTAATAATTTTTAAATATAAATTAATTTTGAGAAGCACTCTGTATTATAATACTAAACACACATAAATTATAGAAAACATTAAAAGGTGTGTTTTTTATTATGTACATGCACTATTTATTCTCTCATATTTAATTATGGACTCCTTAATCAAAAAAAAAATTTTTTTTTTTGGTTTTAAATTTTTTTTTTTGCATAATTGTTATTTTTTTGCTGAATAAAAGATAGTTAAATTAAATTTGTTAAAAAAAAAATAAAAAATAATGTACCAAAATAGAAAAAATGGAAAAGATGTCATGATTATAGTGTTGGTTTTAAGTTTCTCACTAAAAATTCACTTTAATCCTCAAACTTCATATATTATACATATTTAATTCCTTAATATTTCTTAATTTAATTTTAATATAGAATTTTATTTATATTATTTTTTAATCATTAGTTCAAGAGAGAAAAGAAAGAAATCGTTAAATTCTAGCAATAGAAAAAGAAGAATATTATTAGCATAAATTCAAACCATTGAAATAATCGGTTTTCATGTCAATTGATTACATTCAATGAAAGAAGTCTAACTTTAGTATTATTTTACTTTAAAAGTGCTTAAAAAACATATATGAACTCGATAATATTTTTTATTTAAAGTTAATTTTAGTTTTTAAGATGGTTTTTATTTTATTTTATCAAAATTGTTGATGGATTTATCAATGTATCTAAGGTGTTTCACGAGTCTTTATAATTAAAATTGATTGAAAAAATAAGTTTTTTGATAAAAAAATCTACAACCTTTATTTTAAAACCACCTTAATAGATGGGCCCCAAAAAACAAATCTACAACCCCAATCTTCAAGCCACCTTAATTATTTTCTTTCTATGGTTTTTATTAATAAAAATTTATTTATTTATTTATTATATTTATAATATGTATAACCTTATATAATATTTTTTTATTTTATTTTATTCATTCAATTTTATAGGTATCAATTTTTTTTATTTGATCAAATAAAAAATTAAATTTGATAAATAAAGTTATTAAATATAACCGGGTCAAAGACTTATGTTGCAAAATAAAATATATTAATTTATATATATCTTTTAAATTTTTTATTTTTATCTTTATTTATTGTTGATGATTTTTATTTTTTTCATTCATTAACATATATAATTCTTGATTTATTTAATTATATGTATGTATAAAATCTTTTATTTACACTTATAAACTTTTTATGTACAAAAACACATAAAAGAATCTACATATATAATTTTTTTTAAAAAAAAATAACTACCAGCAAAGCATACTAAATCATTAGTATACTATATTTATGTACATACAACAAACACAGTTAAATATAAACTTGTGTTGAAAAATTTACTATTTATATAGAATATGCTCATGCAATATATTTATAACCTTCAATGTACTTAAGTTTCTTAAAATTTGAAGTGATTTGAAAGTGTAGTAGATGTTAATTTTTAAAGTATTTTTTATTTTAAAATAATATTTTTATTTTTATTTTTTAGAATTTATTTTTGATATCAAAATAATATAAAAAAATAAATTTTATCAAAAAAACTGGTTCAATAGTAATACTAAACACTCTTAACGTGAGATACATGCAATGCTTTGTTTTCTCAGCCAGCTAATACAATGATGAAAAGCGTGTTATCGTCCTCAAGTGTTATTTTCACCTGAAATATACATTTTCGACTATACTATACTTTCTGTCTTCAATTGAGCAATTTAATAGAATCTTTTGTAAATATGAATTAGTGGACAACATTGCATTCTCTTCCTCGTTGTTCATGGCAAGATAAGATAAAATAAAGCAAAATAAAATAAATCAATAGAGAACAAGTTCGATAAGATATTTCTTGATAAATTGATGGTGTAGCTAAGAATTATTTTACAGTCGAGTGGATGGTTTTTTTCATAGATAATTCGAGAGGTTTAGAAAGAAATCAAAGGAGAAATACAAAGAAATGATGTGAAATTGCATATGAGAGATTTCAAGCCTGAACCAAACATGGCAAAAAATTGCTACGGAGTAATCTTGGCTGGTTGAATGTCTCTCTGCTGGCTGGGTCTTGTTGAATCTTTCAAACCAATCAGAAAAACACAAAGCAAACAGGAATCAAATATTGAATTTATGGAATTGAATTCTTCAAGAGGTTGCTATGGGAAATATTCTTCCACCACGACTAAAAAACAACTCTTTTTTTAATACAACTCGAAACAACTTTTTGATTTTATAGTAAGAATATTCTTTGATTAGCTTGTATATTAATTGAAATTTAATCTTTAAGAATCATTTGAACTAAGAATTTTAGATAAGTTTTGAATATATAATTTATATTTTTTTTTCTAATATATTCCTAAAGCAACATTCATTTCAACTTGAAATATATACATACTCAAATTACTCTATATTTAATTTTATTAAAAAAATTAAAATAATAATTTTTTAAAAAAAATATTGAGATAATTATAGATTGAATCGATCTCAATATCCGCAGCAACATGTGACACGGATTTCATTGAGTTTAATAATTTTTTATAAAATTTATTTTTAATTATATGGTAAAAATATATAGTTACAAAATTAAGCACCAACCTAAAAAAAAATGTTTTTGAGTTAGTGATAACTTTATAGAAAGCAAATAAAAATAAATCATGTAATTTATTTTTCAACAAATCCAATATTAAAGTATAAAATTGAGAGAAAAAATTAAAAATAATTAAAGAAAAAAAAAAACATATCCACCTAATGGGTGAACTCATCAAGCTTATGAATGGGTTAACTTGAGTTGACATTTATTTTCTTTCCAAAACTATTTTTTATTTAATTATATGATAATAAAAATAGATGATTGTAAAATCTAACAACAACTCCATATTGAGATATTGAAAAAGATAATAAAAAAAAAAACTAAACTTGCCAGATTTACAAACCCAGAATCAACCTGAAACTCAATTTTTTTTCGAATTCAGTTATGTTTTTCAGGTACTTTCAATATAGATGCACTTTTTTAATATGTTTTTATATAAACAAAAATTATATAAATCAAAAGATTCATACATACATATAATCAAATAAATCGAGAATTATATATGTTAATAAACAGATAAAAAAGTTATTAACAATAACTAAAATCAAATTTAAAAAAATCAAGAGATCAAGATGTCTAATCTCATGAAATATAATATTTTCCTGGTTGTATTTACTAAATTTATTTATTAGAAATATTTTTTTTATTCAATCAAATAATAATAGAAATAGATACACATATTAAATTCATTAAATAAAAAAATATTATGCAAGACTATACATATTAATTTATTTTATTTTTAAAAGTAAAGTTAATCTATATAAAAGATAAAAAAAATTATAAATGAATCAGCATATTCTTTTCAAAAAGTAAATACACACAACACCATTTAAAAACAAATCTTTATCCAAAAAAAGTCAATTAAAAAAAATCACAGATGATAAATATTGATTGAAAAATAAATTTAAGAATTATTTAAGAAAAATACTTAAAAAATATCAATTTAAAAAAGCAATATTAAAATAAAAATCAACTTAGATATTATGGCTTAACTTATTAAATTTGTGTTCTAAGCCATAGACTTAACCAATTTTTTTTTTATAAAAAATTACATTTAACTTTAAAAAAAATTTGACTCTCGAGCTCATGACCCAACACACCTGGGCCATTGAAAATAAAAAGTTTAGGCATGTTGGTGGGCCTTTAAACACAAGTTCTCGTGCTAAGACTTGATTTGTATTTTTGGATATTTGAAAGTGATGAATGACATCTATTTTTTTTAAAGAAAACAAGTAAACAGATAATATGTCATCTACATACTCACAATCTAGTTATTTAATGATGACTGGAAAATCAGGGCAATAACTTTTTTGTTTTGAAAAACAAACTTTAAAGTCATTTCAATTCAAAAATATCTTATCATCATTCTTGAAACACCCATAAACCAAGTTATTAACTTAAAATACCCAAAAAGGGTTAAAAAACACGAAATCAAGTCGTGTTAGATTTATCTTTCTTGCTTTATATCTAGTTTTTAATATAATATTGAGGTTTTAAACAACCAACATTAAACCTTTCTCTCATCTCATATAACACGTGGAACTAAGAACTACTATTCTGATGATTGAAAATGAATTAAACGATGGGTTTTTTTCATTGCTAAAATCTATTGATCCTTTTTTTTTCTTTTTAATTAGAAATTGAAAGATAATATAAATAAATTTTTATATTAAAATAAATTTACTTGAAATGTAAAGTATTTTAAATTGTATAAGTTATGTTATTTTTAAAATTTAAAAACTAAGTATATTGTTAAAATATTTTCTGGTACGATTGGTTGATATCCTTTTAATTTCCATCTCTTTTCTTTTAATTTAATTATTGTCGGAGGAGCTAAAATCAATTAGTTTCCAATTAAAATTAGATCGCCCAAGATAAAAATTC